TTGTACTTTTTATATTGTTGTATTTTGTGAATGTTTGTAACGGCAAAATAAACTAATAAATTAAATAATGTTGTTTATTGCATTTTCTATTTAATAAAACACATAACGAACATCTCAGTTAATATGATAATGTTTTGATATTTAAAAATCTCATCAAAATTATTTTTAAAGTTTTTTTCTTAATCACTGTCGCCATTGTTTACATGTTCCTCCTCAATCTCGAACGTTATCTTAAATAAAATAAGATATTAACAGAATTTTTACTTACAGATTATTGATTTCTCTAAAGAAATTAATCAATGGGTAATTATAATTTTAATTCATTGAAATTGCGTTACTGCCTTATTGTTGCATTCCATCCTATGGTAACCTCCACATGCTGCCATACATTTCATATTGTTTTTCCTACAAAAGCATTCTCTTGTTTGGCATTGGTTTATTGAAATAGATCTGCAGTTACATTGGATGACCTTGAGCAAATTTTGTGGAGCTATTTCTTTGTCAGCTAGAATTGGTTCAAGGTGTCCATTGGTGGGTTTCAATCCCCACTCAGTAGGTTTTAGGTTTGATTTTTCGTCTACCATTTTCTGTTCAATTATTTGCAGATGAACTCTGTAACCATGGAAATGAGCAGCCCATTTAGTCGGTGGTAGCATGGACAACAAAACATTTGTACAGTGATCAAAATATTTTGAATATCTAATGTTTGAAGGAAGACTTGTTTAAACATAAAGACAATCCTATAAAACAAATATCTTATGTCACTAGGAGCAGTTTGACTATTAAAAAAAGTGTGATTAGGCTCAGCTAATCTTTATAAATTTGTATATGTTTAAAAAAGAATAAGACTTAATTTGGCTAATAAAGTCTCTTGATGTCCATTATATATTTCTTTGAAAGCATTGACCGAGGATTCTGCTATTTCTTTGTCTTCTCCCCAGTAGTCCATAAATGTTTAGGCTATCTTTCTCTTATTTTCTAACTTTTTGACGGAGTTAAAAAAACATTGCTTTTCCTATGCCAAATATTGCTGATGTGGAGTCACATCCACTCCATGCATGAACAAAAAGCAAATGATTCTTGACGTCCGCAACTTCTAATTGACTTTTTTTAATGCTCAAACATTTTTTGCCATGTTTCTGAAAAAGGAAAACATCGCGTAACTTCTTATTCCAGTCGTAAAGAAGTATTACAGTCACATCTGTGTCATCAGGCACGACTATTGTTGGAAAATCTTTTGCAACCTCGAGAGCCGTAGAAACAATTTTTGTGTCAGCATCCTTCACATACATGAACCGTACGGCGATCCTTGGTGAGGTATGCTGCTAGAAACGGTATCAACTGCTCCTTATTATGGGCTATACCTAAAAATGTTCTTTGGAATATGAAACATCGTTATCTTCTTTAATGATGATACTTCTTAAAAATCCACTAGCTGTTGTTCTTCTAATGTGTTCATTAGACTTAATTGTAGTCGTGGTCTTAAATCAATTAAATACAATGAAGCATTTGCCATAGTTGTTCTAACATTGTTCACATATCGATACAATGTCGCTAAACTTTTTTCCTTTAACCCAGTGCACACAATTCAATAAAACACCTCCATCAATAAGGTAGGTGCAATTTACCAATTTTTCTATTAAAATCCTTTCCTCTGTTAGAAGTAATTTCCTAAGCAGGGCTTTATCAAGTTTAGGCGTAAAATTGTTTTTAACAAAGCTTGTGGAAATAGGGTGAGTTCGTAATCAAAGTAACTTTCAACATCAATTTCTCATTTTGTGCATTTGCTGCTAATTTTGTAAATAGTTTATTAATTTCTTGTAAATTGTAATAAAATACCACACCTAACCCCGGTCGCCCCCTACTCTTTGATTTGGCCCCCCGCGACACTAAACCTCAATCCTGACTGCTAAGATTGGTTATAAAATGATAAAATAAATTGTTTAAAGTTCTATAAGTTTAAATAAAAATTTTATAATTGAAAAAGTTCAGTCATTAAACTTTTACTTGTGTTTTTTATGTTCAGCAAACAAAATAACTTTGGGTTACGAGAGTGCAGCTTAAAAAAAAAAAAAATGAAACGAAACTAAAACCGAAAAAATAGTAATAATTACACATACCTAGATTTTAAAACAAAACACATTTAGCAAGTTTTAGACAAAGCAAAGAAAGAAGCACAGCAAAAAAAGCTGAATATAATAACGTATTTTCCTGCACAAGATGACAAGGTAAGTTTCAAGTTAAATTTTTATTCTTTTTGAATAATTAAAAAAAAAAAAAGAATTTTAATGCTAAATAAGATGATTTTTAATAGATTGATCTATCAAAACAAAACTGCATAAAAAAAGTTTAATTATAAAAAGTTTCTTCAAATTATTAAAATAAATAATTTAATATATATATATATATATATATATATATATATATATATATATATATATATATATATATATATATATATATATATATATATATATATATATACATATATATATATATATATATATATATATATATATATATATATATATATATATATATATATATATATATATATATATATATATATATATATATATATATATATATATTATATATATATATATATATATATATATATATATATATATATATATATATATATATATATATATATATATATATGTATATATATGTATATATATATATATTATATATATATATATATATATATATACATATATATCGGGTGATTCATAAATAATGATACCCTTTTGTATTGATTAATTTTAGCCTCTGTAGTACAAAGTATGAACCGCCCATGGTCTTAAAAGATAGAGAATTTTGTGCTGAAGAACGTACCATTCTCATTTTTTTTCTGCGCGCACGCAAGTGAATCAGTAACAATGAAAAGTCAAGACAGGCAAAATGTTGTAACTTCTAAGTATAAAAATGGTGATGGTCCAACTAAAATTTTTCGCAATTTGAGTGGCACTCTTAGCTTACCCACAATCAAAAGATGGTGCAAAATGATTGCCAAAGATGGTACAATCAAACTTTCAAAACCTCCTGGTCGTCCCGCACAGCTCGAACAAAAGCAACTATCAAAAAAATAAAAAACCGGCTGAAACGGAAGCAAAAGCCAATTTCTACACGAAAATTGGCAAACGAACTCGATATTTCTCAACCAAGTATTTATTGTGTTCTTAAAGATGATCTTCAGCTTCTATCTTACAAAAAAGTTGTCCAACCACTATTATCCGATGACCACAAAGAAAAGAGAGTTAAATTTGCAAATTGGATTTGTAACAATTATCGGAAAGCTGATACAATGCGAATCCTTTTTTCTGACGAAAATTTTTTTGATATTGATGGTTTTTATAACTCTCAAAATGACAGAATATGGGCTTCAAATCGTGTTGAAGCTGATAGCATCGGAGGAATCAAGCAGCGAAGAAAATTTCCTGAACGTGTTATGGTTTGGTTAGGAGTTTGTTTAAAAGGTCTATCACCATTAGTTATTTTTGAAAAGAGTACCGTTAACCATGAAAGGTATATTGAAGATGTTTTTTCAGTTGCCAAAAAATTGGCAATAAAGTATTTGGTGAAAACTGGATATTTCAGCAGAATGGTGCACGAGCACATACACACCCATTGACACAACAATAGTGTCAGGACAATTTTCCTGATTTTATTCCTAAAGAACGTTGGCCTCCAAATAGCCCAGATTTGAACCCATTAGACTTTTCTATCTGGGAGGAATTTAACCATGCTATTGACTGGAGTCGAGTAAGCTCAAAAAAAAACGTTAATCGGTGAGTTAAAACGTGCAGTAAAGAGAATTAGATTTGAAATTGTCTTAGAAAGTTGTAATTCTTTTTCAATTCGATTAAATCATGTTTGTGAGAATGGTGGAAACTATTACTTTTTAATAATAAAAAGACATTATCTTATAGAAAAAATTTTTCTGTTTCTTTTGAATCTATTTTGAATGTTAGTAAGTTAATATCTTAGTAAAAAAAAAACTGCAAAATAAATGGTATCATTATTTATGAATCACCCTATATATATATATATATATATATATATATATATATGTATATATATATATATATATATATATATATATATATATATATATATATATATACATATATATATATATATATATATATATATATATATATATATATATATATATATATATATATATATATACATATATATATATATATATATATATGTATATATATATATATATATATATATATATATATATATATATATATATATATATATATATATATATATATATATATATATATATATATATATATATATATATATATATATTTGCCAATAATCCGATAACCGGACGACTTAAAAGATTGCAAAACATAAACGAGGAAAAAAAGATGAACGGAGCAAATTCCAAAGAACTGATGTTCGAGGAAAAAAACTAGAAAAAAAGAATTTTTGGAGTACTTAAGAACAATAACAGTGAAAAGACGAGACTTAACTGAATGACGAGTAGCATGAGAGTGAATTTTAGATGTAGATGGCGCAAGTCAAAAGTTAGTTAAAAATGAAAAATATGCATTTTTTATTTTCAAAATATGCGCTACAGCTGCTCATTGACTCAATATCGAGTATTAAACATCCTAAATTGGAATTAATGTATTATTATAAATATATCTACGCTTGCCTAAAAGATGAAAAAGGAGTGCAAAGCTGGTCAACAGATAGAATCTGCTTACCCAATAAGATTAGCTTAAGAGACCTTTTACAAGACAGCAGCCGGATGTATCTAACGTCTGCCAAAATTAAGTATTTTTATCGAGACACCATCACAACCCTTGACTTAACTAAAAGCCCCAAGGCAGGGGGTGTTGTATCAGAGTTGGCTTCTTCTAGCTTTTGCCTAAAAAAGTGTATCCTATAAGGCAGCAGGACATGAAGCAGTTTGGATAACCTGATCTGACAAAATTTATACTATATATAAACATTATAATATTTCAAAGTTATAAAAATTAAATATTTCATAATATCAATCTAAACGTAAAAAACAAAAAAATAAACAAAAAAATATTTAAAAAAAAAGGTTGCAAATAACTGTCTTGTTAATCTGTTTCACATTTCTCTGGAAGAACTTTTCTTTTATTTAACGATGCCGGAATAAAAAAGTATACGTAAGCACAATTTAAGAAACAGCCGATGGATATTAAGAAAAAAACAAAGTATTGATTGAATGGAAACCCAAGTCTGTGATTATCAAGATTTGACAAGGACCAACTGTAAGAAATTCCAAAAATTGTTGGTCCCAGCGCCCTTAAAATAAAAAGAATTATAACAAATTTTTTACAAAAAACCAACTTTGGATCTACAAATGTAACAATTTAGACTCAGTAAAACATTTTTATGAAAACAAATTGTTGTTTAGAGTCAATTGAAGAGTTTTAAATATAAGATTGAATTTGCTAAAAATTTATAGATAGTCATTTAAAATTGGTTTTAACAAGCATTTTAATTATTAAATCGTTTTGGTATTTCTTTAACAACACAAAGGTTAACACTTCTAAATACCGAGGTTACTAAACACCAAGGTTATCTTTTAACAAACTTAATTGATCAAAATGTTTTAACTTTGAGACTTAATCTTTATCGTCATTATTAAAGTTTTCATTGTGAAATGAAGTGCGTAAAATAATAACAAGTTAAAATCCCACTACCACCCCTGCCACCATATCCCTGGTAAAATTGCACTGAGCTGGTAATTTAGTAAAGCAACTTTGTCTAGATACACAAGATATGTTGACATTTTGCTATGCACAATATCAGAATATTTTTTATATTCTTTACATGACAGAAACTATTTATATATGAGCATTAAATTTTTTATTTTGTAAAAGTATTTATTAATATCTGTAAATTAGTAAGTAGCATATAAAACAAATTAGTTACCTTCCTATACTAGAAACAGACATTCCTAAGCCATTGACTGTACCAAAAAGATCAGGTTTAACACTGTTTCCCAAAAATACATTAATGCATATGAAGCATACATTATTTACAGAATTAACTAAAACAAAGACAATCGTAAGAAAGATCCACCGCAGTGCACTAAAAACAGCAAACATTGAAATAAATTGTTAAAGTATTACGAGTATTAAGTTTGAAACTAATTTAATAATAAATTTAAAAATATATTATTATATATCTATTTTAACTGGATTTAAATCGAAATAAATTTATAAGAGGTTGTATAAATGTGGACAAATATTATATAGAATAAGTGGCGGATTGAGGTATAGTGTCGCGGAGGGCCAAGTCAATAAATAGAGAGCGATCAGAGATAGATGCGGTATTTTAAACCCCAGAAATTATTTTTCTAAGAAAAAATATTTGCATAACTGCACTTCTGACTAAAACACTTTATAAGTGGTTTAATGTTACTTTTATCATATATATTAAATACATATAAGACACTAAATAACCTAATTTATTTTGAGTTTCCTACGTTTATTTTACTTAACAACTATTTTTTATGAAATAGGAAACATTTAATATTACTGAAATAGTTCAGTCGTTTAAAAATGTATTTAACTAGATATATTATAAAAGTTAGCTTTTATAAAGTTCAATTTTCAAGTAATTTTTACAAATTTTTTGTATTAGCAAAACGATTTATCGACAAGTCAATGCTTTCAGCAAGCCAGGCGCGGATAGAGCATTTTTTGATGTTTGAGATTTTTGACATACCTAACTTCCAGACATGGAGCAAACTCCAAAAATTTGTATTTTTATACTTATATCAAATAAGGATGCCTTGCAAACAACTGCAATCATTGGGGCCAGGGGGAAAAAAAGCCCTGAAATTTTAGCTACACCTGCCCCAAACGTGAAAGCAGCAAGTTGATACAACAGTTTCTATACTATTCTTAACTAATATTATATTTATTGACAAATTTTAAAAATCACAAAAAAATCTTTTAGCGTTCAAAAACTATGACCATAAAAAGTTTGAACCCCCTCAATTTGAGGGGGTTGCAAAATTTATAAAGCCATAATTGTTAAACGCTAAGAGATTATTGCGTGAGCTTTAAAATTTATCGATGAATATGTAATTGGTTAAAAATATAAGAAAAAATATTTTATCAACTTGTTGTTCTCACGTTTGAGGCAAGTGTAGCTAAAATTTTAGGATTTTTTTGTTCCCAGGCTCAAATCATTGCAATTTTTTGCAAAGCATCCTTATTTGATATAAGTATAAAGATATAAATTTTCAGAGAGTGTTCCATGACTCAAAGTTAGGATCTCAAAGATCAAAAATTGCTGCATCCGCGTTTGCAAATTCTCGCTCAATAGAAATTAATGGTAATCCAGAAAGACGTTCGTTTGTCATTGATAATCTGTTATAATAATTTATAATCTTTAGTTTACAGAAACTTTTTTAAGCATTAGCAGATGTAACCAAAAGAGTCAAGTAGATTTTTTTAAAGCATAGACAAGTTAGGAAGACCGGGTGCCATCTGTTTCTCAATCAAGAATTGAAGTACATCTTTCATTTGTAGGTTAGTTGTCAGTAACAGGGGTATCAATGCATACACATCTTTGAAAGTCTCATACTCTATGACTATTACTTCATTGTTTACGTTGTTACGTTGTTACATTGTTACAATAAATTTGAACTTTTATATGAATTTATACTTTCCTCAGATAATTTTAACGGGTCAAGGCAATCTTAAGGTGCTACTGTGTTACTAAAGTCGTGCGATTGTTCATTTATTTGAGCTATAATTGTATCCAAAACATTGAAGTAGGTTTCACAATTAAAGCGTGTAGTCGAATCATCTACTCTTTCATCTCTCCACAGCTCTCCTGGCATGCGTTTCTTTTAGACAACTCGCGTTTTTTTAAATTCAGTTTCTACATCTAGTTCCGCACATTTTTCAATAATAAATGATTTGACAGCTAAATGTAAAACTTCAAACGCTGCATCGTGTCTCATATCGACAATTTTTTTTTTGTAACATCAATCAACCGTTTTGCAAATAAAACGTCTTTATTTTTTTTTTTGTTGCAAATAGTTAGATAGATAATTAAAAGTTAACACAAAAAGTTTATTTAGCAACTTTGGCAGAAATAACATTCGAAAAACAAATGAATGTTTTTTTAGTTGTACCTTTACTTTTTTACTTTTTTTTTTTTGTGTTTTCTAAATGATAAACCTTGCTTTGCTAAGAACAACGTTACGTCTATCATTCGTTTTAAAACTTCTTTATTACTTAGCGACACCATTGATTAATTAAACCAGATATAACAGTTTTATTAGTTGAAATTGATAATTTTATCATCAGCAAATATTGGCGTATTGCATTTTGATGCTAGTGAAAAGTTTTGCGTTTAAAAATATTTTTCCATATCTTTTTTCCACTTATAAACTCCTGCTGCTGCATCAGACCGTTCGTTGCTATAATTTTCAGCTTTAAAATCTGAAAATAACTAGCAAGTGCAGCAGTACATTTTTTGATTGCTAGGTAAAAATACAAGCCAATTTCTTTCCTTTTTATATTTCTCTTTCCAATATTTTTTGTATACCAGGATATTTGGAACTCACAAACGGCTTCATCAGTTAGAAATTGAAAAGATTTGTGTAGACATGGTTGACATGGTCTTATTTCTCACAACTTCTCTATCAGCTTTATGCTCAAACTCATATTATTATATAGTCTGGTGTAGCGTTTTTAAATTACTGCGTTAAAATTTTACTGCGCGGAAGTTTTCAACCGTTCAAACTTCATTTGCGGTAAAATAATTGTACTAAGGCAGTAATATTTTAACGGTAAAATTTTACTTCACTCGTTATAATTTTACTGCTTTTTAGCTTACAATTTATATAGCTTATTTTGTCAAGATGTACAAAAATATTAACTTTAATGATGTCAGGAAATATTTAAATGGCATTGCCTATCCTGAAGATGCGAATGAAAGAGGAAAAAAAGCAAATTTTAAACAGCAGTATAAAAATTTTGTTTTTATAAAAGAAGTTTTTATTTAATTTAAAAGTTTTTACTTAAATAAAATAAAGTAATTAAACAATATTCTTTATTGTGCATTATTTTGAATTAACACAACCTTTTTCAAAAATTCGAAAATTGATAGCTTTAAAACAGCTCAAAATAATGTAAAAATTTCATACAAATAATTTTTTTTCTTGTTGGTGATTATGGTAATAGATCGGGAAGAACAATTAAACATTGTTAAAGAAGTCCATGAGGGTCTCGGTACTTCTGCGAAAGCTGTTGCATTAGCTAGCCACATAGGAATTAATGCTGTGAGAAAGCAAATTTCTTTAAGATTTTTTTGGCATTCAATTGTGGAGGATATCACCAAACATGTAGCTCAATGTGAACATTGACAAAAAACTTCTAACAGAAACCTAAAAGTGTCTCCTGCTTTAAAACCTGTTAAAGTAGAACAACAAGTTATGAAACAAGTTGGTGTAGATTTAATTAAATTACCTGAATCAAATGGATTCAATTATGTAATTGTCCTGAAGTGGACTGAAGCTGAACCTCTTATCGATAAAACAGCAGTATCAGAAGCAGCTTTTCTTTATAGAGTTATTTGCAGGCATGGTTGTTTTCAAATACAAATTAATGACCAAGGTCAAGAATTTGTAAATTCAGTACCCATTGCACTTCATGATATGACAGGCGTTCAGCAACGTGTAACCTCTGCTTACCATCCACAAGCCAATGGTCTTGTGGAAAGACAGAACCAGAAAATTAAGAAAGCAATTGTTAAGGTCTTAAATGAAAATGTTAAAAGTTGGACCTCAGTTTTTGATCGAATCCTTTTTGCTTTACGTGATAAAGTGCACGATTCAATGGAGTATTCACCATTTTACTTTATGTATAACCGACAGCCCTATCTTCCAATTGATGTAAAGTACACAAATGTACTCAATAGGGATAACTACAATCCTGTATATGATAAAGAAGTTTTACAAAAAGCTTTACAAATGAAAAGAGGGCTTGAAGAAAAAGCTATGACCAATAATGCTTGTGCACAAAAGAAACAAAAAATTGACTATGATAGAAAGCATACAACACCATCAAATTTTTTTGTGGGTCAAAAAGTACTATTGAGAAATCTGAAAAAAGAAAATAGAAAAGGTGGAAAAATGACTTTCTCGTGGCTTGGTCCATATAAGATACTTGATATTTTGTCAAACTCAACATGTTTATTGAGAAACATTAAATGAAACAACACAATAAAGAAAAAGTACTCTCTACATCATGTTAAACCATTTGTTGAAGAGAAAATTAATTCAAAATTGCATATTTAACTTCTGAGTGCAATAATCAGGATAAAAGTCAACGTAATTTTAAATTAATGAAACATCCTACCAAAGACGTTCTCCAAAAAATAGCTGAAGAACAAGGACTTAAAGTATTTATAATGCCAAATCTTTTTGATGGAGAAGAAAAAGATGTACCTTCAAATATACATGTTTGCAAAGGTGATGGCAATTGTTTTTTTTGAGCAGTTTCGTTTTTGTTGCCAGGTTCTGAGTGTCAACATACACGTTTTCGCGATGTTGTTGTTAAACTTATGGTATCAAAGCCTTGTTCCAGTCTTTTGTCCGGATATTTAGGCGATGATGTGGAAAACTACATTACCAAAAGTGGTATGGCCACAGATATTAATGGGCTACAGATGTTGAGATCCTTGGTACTGCAAATCTTATTTGAATTGACATTACTGTATGGTCCTTCACTGGACAAAAACTAGCATGGCTCAAATATCCAGCATCCATGAAACTCGACCAACTAACAGCTCATAGTATTCTTTTAGAAAATAAAAACAATCATTATAACGTTGTTTTGTCACTAAAAGCTTTGTAAATGAAATGATGTTTAAACTGAACTAAAATGATGTTTGTATATCAGTTGTTTTACAAGGTTGTTTGTTATAAAAAGATAAATAATTTGCTCAAGGTTGCATATTGTTTACAACTTAAAAAAACGTAAATAAACTTGTTTGTAATAAAATTCTACAGAAGTGATTTTATGGATCGCTAGGATATTTAATTTATTCTAAGATTAGATTTTGTG